ATATAAAAAATATTAAAATGGTTTTTACCATGCAGGAAAATTTGTTCAAATATTGAGTTTTGATTTCACCTGTATAGCGTAACCACATTCGATTTATATGTACAATATTAACAAATTTGTGCTAAGAAAAACCATGGTACTTGCGCGATTCCTTAATGGCATTAACACATGTAAACTTCGAAATTTCATATGAATATGTGAATTGTAAGCAAAACCTACAAAAATTCTCGTCATTATAATTTAATAATTGAATAAATTATTAAACAATTTTCTGTACTTTATTCATAATATTATATGCAATTACAATTGCAAGTATGCACTACTGTTTTCAAATCATCATAAAATAAAGTATATATATATATATATATGATTTGCATATTATAATTTCCGGTTTTTTTTAATTATTACCTATATTTTATAACCTAATAATGTATTAATTATTGTGTATAATGTAAAATTATTATGCTAATTTTATTGTAACACAATTTATATATACATACATATATAATAATTATTGTTAATATTTGTACAAAAATTTCAATTTTATTTACGAGTATATAATTTGTAAATATGTAAATTTAGGATATTATAAGTACTATTTTAAATACAATGTTAATATGATGGGATCCAATACTTAAATAAAACATATTTTAATATTATATAATATCATGTACCTTTGCTGGATAAGTACCCAAGCTATATAATCATACAAGAATATTAATTTATTGAAAATTTTAAATTGAAATAAAAAATCCCCAAATTATGTTTTCAAACAGAAATACTATAGCTATTATATTTAAATGTCTTAACTATTGTTCTTATAAATCAAGTCTTTACTCAAAAACATATTTACTTCCATATAAAAAATAATTTACCTTTAGTTAATTTACCCTATATCAAAGTAATACAATACTTTCCACTATAATTTTTATAACAAAAGTTTAATTACAATTGAATAACATTCTTTCAACTGTATTTTAAACCAGGTTGAAATCTAAAGTTCCTTTTCTAATAGTTTCTGTTACAATATTAATATTCATAACTTTATACATTATTTACATATAGAGAACCCCCCAAAAAAAAAAAATATCTATTAAAAAGGAAGTCAAAAATACTTTAACATTTACATAACTTATAAATAATTAAAGAAATTTTATGATTTACAAAGAAAATATATAAGACCATTTTACAATAGAATAATTATAATTCACAGTTATGTAAATTTCAACAGTAAATGTTAATTTTAACAGTTTAATTTAAGCACTCAGACATTTGTTTTTCCTCTTTTTTTCATGTACTTTCTTTTCTTTCTTTTTTTTTTCAAAATTTCAAATGAAGTAAAATTAACTGGGGTAAGAATTGTGTCACTAAATTATTTTAATTATTATTATTTTTTTTTTTCTAAATATTTTGTATTGTTGTAGTCTCCAGACATGGTACTTATAAGTACATTCTTAAAATGGATATTATTTTAAAATGTGTGCCAAATTTCTTACTTATGACTGTTAAAAATCTAAATAATTTTATAATATATGTAAAGTAATCAAAATTAAAATTATGATTTTACTTCCTTCCAAATAACTTCCGTCTCCGATTTTAGAAGAAACGTGTAGACAAAGTTCTTTCTTTCAAAACATTTTTATTCTTATATATTTTTAAGAGAAAACAAAATCACATAAAAAAAAATAAAGTTGGGACAAATAAATGGTTTATAGAGTAGCACATTTCCATTAAAAAAATTCTATATTTTAAAGTAACAGTGTAATATTTTGGAAGATATGCAATTTTATTTAATATAAAGCAAATAAAAGCCTTTTAGTCGATCTGAATGGAATGAATGATATTCAACACCTTGCGGCAATACAAAAATTTGTTTTTGAAATAATTAGAATTAGCTTTCATAGTTGTATGGCAGTTACTTGAACATGTCTAATTATTCAATAAAAACTTCAAGGATATATCAGCCACCTTTATTATTTTCTTTTTAAATTTAATATTAACTTTTAAAGTTGCATGGAAGCTACTTAAATCTGTCAAGACTGACATGTCTAAATCGACGCAAATTTTTACGCTGAGCCAGAATATGTGTCCATATTGCAGACGACTCCTTCAAGTGATTATAATTTCCATACTAAAATTGATATATTCTTTATAAAGGTGCAGGATATAAAAGCTATGCATATTTAGTTTCCTTTATATGGGTATAATAAACGAATATTGAAAGGGTATTATAAACGTATCCCTCGATTCGTAACGATTTGTTTCGAATTCAAGGTTTATTTAACTATGTCTTTCCTTTCAACTACCTGTCCGTCCGAATTTGCTTGGGATTCAATAAGTACTTAGCACAGCTATCAAATAATCAAAAAAATAATTGGGCCAATTCAAGCAGCGGATCAGGGTAGCTACTATACAAATCAAAAATACTATTATAAATATTTGATAAAATAATAAAGTAAGCTGCATGAAATTTCGTAGTCATATGTCCAACTATAACTTCCGATTAAGTTTAAAAGTATTGGTGAAAAAGCTTGGTAGAGTACTTTTGTAGGACTAAGTTTGCAGGATTAAGTACCACACAAACCGTCAAAAAAGTATATTTGAAATTGTTTTGACAATATTTTTGAAACTACACAACTGAAAACTAAGATTTAAAATTTGCAATTTTAATTTTACTATGCTACAAGTAAAAGTCGCAGATTTCATAAAAATGACGGAAGATATAAAAAATTTAAAATAGAGAAATTATTAGCATAATTATTATGACAGTTCAATTTACATATTTCAAAAAATTTATATGACTTTGAATTATTAATCGCTAATCGAACTTATTCCCTCTTTTGAATAATTTATTTATAATTTAGTAATTCTCTTATACAGGATGTTCCGTTTAATTTTGCATTGACATATTTAGCAGTGTGAAAATTTTTGATGGTAAGAAAAAAAAATATTTTGCAATATGCCTCTATTGGACCCCCTTTTACAAGCACTCTGAACAATATTTTTGGCTGTCTTTATAGAAACTAGACTAGAACTTTGTTCAAAATGTTGCAGTAGGCTAAATAACAAGCACGTAACGGATTTCACAACACTTAGTGTAAATACGTCAACGATTTACAAAATTTATTTTTGTGAAAATTTTTTCAATTTTTTTTTTTTTTTTGAACTAACATATTTTATCATAAGTTGTCAGAAAAAAAACTTGCACCCTTTTATTTTGTCAAGAACACTTTTAGCCTTGGTCGTTACAATTTTCAAAATGTAATATTATAATATGTAATTTTGTTTCTTTGGAAATGATTGAATCAGCAATAAAATTTAAATTTTAGATTAATATTTTTCATAAAATATACAAAGTCATCTTTTTCAAAAAGAGTCATATTCGACCAGATTGTGAAATTATATTTCTTCTTATTAACGAAGAAGAATACGTTGATGTATGACAACGCAACACTATTCTGAACACCGTGTATACTAATTAGCATAATATGCTTATGTAATAGTATTCAACATTATTTTTATTCAACATGCCAATTTCTCTTTATTCTTCTACATAATAAAATTTGATTTATAAGTTTGGCATGAGTTCTTAAATGTTCTCCTACATCTATATGAAAAATTTTATTAAAAAAAAAATAATAAAATATTTTGCAATTGAATCAATATTTTAATTTATTTAATTTTTATTTATTTCATTTTTTTTTTTCGATTTTCTTTTTTATTAATATATATAAACTTTACATTTTCGTAAGTATTTTATTAATTTTTAATTCACATATTTAATTAAATATTTTTTTTTTGTATTATATTTATATTTAATTTTTTTATACATTCTACTCTTATGTTATATAATATTATTATAAATGTAATTTTTTTTATTTTGTATAATTTTATTATTATAATTTTATAAATATTAATATAGCAGTAGCATAATTATATAAATATATATTTATAATTCGTATGAATGTTCATATATATAATGTTTATATTTGTATATATATGTATATATAGATATATTTGTGTTTAATGAAATTAATTAAATTATAATTTTAAGAGCTAATATTTTTTTTTTTAAATTACTAATTTAATATATTTAATTTTGTTTTTTTTTGTTTGCCTCATTTATTCTTTTCTTATTTTTTTTTTTTGTTTTTTTAATCGCCATGATTCAATTTATAATAACCACCCATTGATAATAGTTATTATTTTTTTTAATTATAATATTTTTTATTTATTATTTTATTTTTATTATTTTTTTCTTTGTTTTTGTATAAATTTAGTTAAAATACAATTACATTAAATATTGATTTTCCTTAATTTAGAAAAGAGAAAAAAAAAATTTTTTTTTTTTGTTTTATCACGATTTCTTTTCATTTATTTTAAATTTATTTTTAATTTAATTTTTTAAGCTATAATTTTTTTTTTGTTTTCTAATATCATGACGTTTAAATCGTTTATATTATTTTTTTCTTTTTTTTTTTTTTGTTTTGTTGTCTGTTTAAATAAAATGCATTTTATGATTAATATATAACTGTTTTTTTTATATAACTTTTTTTTTGTTTTTTTTTTTTGCTATAATTGTTTTTGTTTTTTTGCTAAAAACCTTATTAAACTTAATAATTTATTTTACAAATTTTATATATAATATTATATTATGTATATATGTATAATGATGATAAGTAAATTACTGTTAAAATTTAATTTTGTAATAAAATATATAACGTGTATGTGTTCTGTACATAAGTTAACAGGACAAAGAACAATTTATATTTTCGGGCCTACCAAATACCTTCCGAATTCGAATTTTCAATTTTAAGCGGGCAATTATTCAATTAAAAACTTCCCATTGGTCAAATTAATTTAAGAATAATATTATAAAGAATATTAATGATTTACTATGAATTCAATTGTCATTGAAGTTTTTCGTTTATCATTGTCATTAACATAATTTTGACAAGAAATAAGAGTTAACTTGAAAATATTCTACTCTGGTCTGTATATATAATGTTTGAATATTGTTTAGACTGAATTTGAAATATATTATACACTTAAAAATTAATAACTGCCTTAGTAAAAAATAAAAGTATAAAAATCAAGTTTGTTTTAATTTTTATAATTTTATTTTTAATTGGAATTAAACTTGCTAGATTAATAAAAAATATTGCATACTTTTAGTATAATATTAAAAATAATGAGAAGCTTTACCATAATGGATGGAATTCGAAGACAAATTAAGTGAATTGAAATAATTAATTATATTTTTTGATGACAAGAAATTTACCGTTAGTTTTTTACTTTTAAAAATTTGTAAAAGCTTACAGTTTCAGAAAAATGTGTGGCGAAAAATTGAAAATTTGTTAATTTTAACAGACCGTAATCTTTGAATCAATAATTAATATTTAATTTTTTTTACTACAAGATTTTTTATATGTTACCATCTGATAATAAAAATTGTTAAAAAAGAAAATTATTCAAAGTGACGATTAATTTCAGTGAATTTTGTTGTAATATTTACAATAAAAGCGACTTGCTTTTTTTCTGCGCTTGTCCGTTTTAAAGAAATGCTTGTCAGTTTAAATATAACAACTTGAATTTCAGGACGTTGAGGGGCCATAACTTTCAAGGGAGAGAATTTTTTTTTTAGAGAAAAATGTTTCTTTCCAAAATTAATTTTTATACATAGAAAATTTCACTATTCTAGCTTGTAAAAAACACCTCTTTCATGGACTAGGTGAAACTAATAAGCACATTTTTGTTTTTCTAAATTTATTGGAAATTTACGAAATTTCAACGAAACAATATTATTTTTATGTATACAATTTAAAATAAAATTTATATTAACTGTAATTCACGTACATATATACAAATCTATATATATATATAAAATATCCTAAAATCTAAGCTTAAAATCTTTTTATTTTGTTTAAATATAAGATTAAGTATTTTAATATGAATTAAAAAAAATTTCATTTAATTATTTTTCGATTCATTTCGAACTTAAATCCCCGGCTCCCCTCCCCCCTTCCTTCTTTTATTTTAATTAAACCGAATTTAGTAATACTTGGTTTTACTTTTAATTAATTTAATAAATTTTCAATTTTTTAATTTGCAGTACTATTTATTTTAAAAATAAAAGTGGTTATACTAAATTACTTTTTTTTTGGAAATTTTAAATTTAAAAAAAATATTTTGTTCAAATGAAATGGAATCACCATAGAATTCGACATTGGTTTGCTCAAGTTTTCAGAAAATTTAAGAATTTAAAATTTTTTATCAGTAAAAATTGCAATCAATTTCTAGAATTGAGAACTTTTCAAAATAAATTCAACTGAGATATAATTCAAGAAAATTTTGATTATTATAAGAGTAATTAAATAATTTTTCCGGATTGTTCATACTTCTTGAATTAGTCTTATAGTTAATCGTGTTTTCAACATAGTATTTGCATGTATATATATTTCTTTAACATTTTATTTTATTCCATGTTTCTTAAACCAAGAAAATTATCTCAAATATTTTCAGTTTGTAATCATCTTGAATTTTAAATATCAAAAGTGAAAATAATTGTGAATGAAAATTAGTTTGACATTTGAATTTAATAAAGGTTATGTCATAAGTAAAATTTCAAATTATTTAAAATATTGCCTTCATTCACAATAATATAAATTTATAGATTTTAATATTAGAAAAACTTTATTTTCTATTTCATTTCAAAATATTATGAAATATTAAAATTCATATAAGAAAATTAAACAAAATACGGTTTAATTAAAATGTATAAGAAAAAAATTCAACATTGCCATCCTTTTCGATTTTCTGTTTCTCAAAATAATAAATTCGAATTATTTTCTCCTTATTTTCCTAAAATTACTAATTTTTTTTTTCATTAATTAGTTAAATAAAATTTAATTAAAATTTTTTTGTTTTATAATATTTACAATGTACAACAGTGTAACTTAAAGTAAAATTTAAATATTAAAATAAAAAAAAAATTGTTTTCATTTTTAAAACTACTTCTGTCTAATTATCTGTTAAATGAAAATTCACAATTAAATTTTAATATTTTATAATTTTTAAATATTTGTTCAAAATTGTCAAATTGTCAATTAATGTGAATTTTGTCTAATTTAATATTCATTACAGCTGTCAAAGAGAACAATCTAATAGTAACTTAAAAAAAACATTTATTTAAAATTAAAATTAATATTTTCTAATTAAATTTATAACTTTATATATAATGTAAGATATTCGCATTACAATTGAAAATTCGATATTAATTAACCTTTAGTTATTGAATATATTTTTTTTTGTTAACCAATAAGTGCTCATATTAAAATTATTTCATGGTTGATTTTCTATATTACTTTTTAAATATTATTGACGTGTAACATGACAAATAATTATTGACAAAGTGTGAGTGACATTTTTTGTTGGGTATATAAATTTGACAAGACATAAAATTAATCTCCAAAAGCAATTAATTATTTAAGTATATTATTATTTATTTATTGAAATTTAAATTGTGAGGTTAAAAGTAAAAATTTCATACGTAAACAAGCTAAATAATTACTAAATTTATATAACAAATTAGAATCTTCAAAAGTTTTAACCTATATTTTGTAAAAATTTAATTAATTTTGTTTAGATATACGGCTTAAATCATATACATTTGCATACTAGCATTTATTGGTGGCTGACATTAAATTTCTACAAAATATTGGGGTATCATAAGTTTTCCAATTTTTTGTTTTTTATTAAAACTTGGAATTTAAAACTAAAAGTACGTAAACTATTGTGAATTTTTTGGAGAATTAAAAGCTCCCTTTCTGTTTCTTTGCTAATTAGCTTTCATAACAAATATAATTACAGTTAAAATTATTCGTGGTGTCATGGAAAAAGACAAATTTAACACTTAAAGGTTAACTTAAAATTTCATTTCGATGTCATACTAAAAAAATCATATATATTTACATAACATTTCAAAAGTAAATGCAATATCTTATTGGCATTTAATTATAAGTATATATATAAAAAAAAAAAATAATTAAGAAAAAAAATAACTATCCTAAAATTTAAACAATTTTTTTTTTTCTTTATTTTATAATTATTTATAATACATATATATTATATATATATTTAGATTATATAGTAAATTTATTTTAAAATTTTTATTATATTAATTATATTTAATTATTAATCTTAATAATCAATTAATTATTACCATGCTCTTCCCTGTAAAGGTAAATAACCACCACATTGTTGTTGATGACTGTTACCCATAAAATTATTTTGATTTCTATATGCCATCGCTAAACTATTTGACATAAGGGAATTATTGCATGGCTGTTGTAACATTTGTGCATTATGACTTGCACCATTATAACTGGACAATAATGTTGATGATGTATCTGGTGAATGAGTATGAGGTGCTTCAGCTCCAGTTAATATATTACTACCTGTTGTAACATTACCATTACCACTACTTCCACCAACATTTTGTTGTTGTTGCTGTTGTTGTGGCGTTGAATTTGAAGTACTCGAACATGGTTTACCATCTTTAACTAAAACTGGTACAGCAACTCGCCGTGGTGAACTGGCTGACTAGAAGAAAAAACAAAAAAATTTATAATTATAAAGCTATATTGGTGGCAATGATCAATTATTAAAAAAAAAAAAAATTTGTTATATTTAATTAAGAAAATTGTAGAATTAATTTTTTGTTTTTCTAATATAATTTTACCTGATTTTGTTGATTTTGTTCAGCCATAGCTTTTTCTTTTGCTTGCCGTTTACATTTGTATCTATGATTTTGGAACCAAATTTTTACCTGTAATGGAAAATATAAAATTATATTTTAGGGAAATTAATTTTCATAATAATGGAATGTAAAGTATATGTATATATATATTTTATGTATAGTAAAAACATTCGAAGTATATAGTAAGCAAATTTGAAGGTATATAAATTTTGACATTGACATTTGTCCTTTGTGTCATATATAAATTTTATAAAATCTCTTTATTACAACAATCTTTAAAACTAACAGTTTAGGGTCAATATTTTACACAAAAATTTAATCAAAGAAGTTAAGAATTGACGTTATGTCAATTTTAATATTAACTAACGCATACTGTAGTGTTACAATTATCATCAAAATTTTATAAAAAGCATTCAGAATTTAATACACGATTTTGCGAAAACTTTCTGCATTTCGAAAACGCATTTTATGTAATTCGGAATTCGAAAAATTGTAAATTGTTATTATATGCATTACGCAACGTATGGTACTTCTTCAAGATTTGCGTAACCTTTTTATGGAATATAAATGCGAATTTCAATGCTTAAATCTATAAAATATGTACAAAAAACTATTCATACGAATTTCTTTTACAAACTTTCTGATTATTCTGAACTTCTATTGTATGTTATTCGAAAACTATTGTGAACTCCAAGTTCTAAAATTCCTTATTGTACAGTGTAAAATATTAAAGTAAACTATAAGTAAACAAAAATTTTATTTTTAGATAAAACAAAATAAAAAAAATAAATGAGTCTAACTGTACCATATTAAACGAGTATAATAAATTTTATCTGTGTATACTTGTATAATATAAATTTATAAAATAAACTTTTATATTAAATATTTTTTAAATGATTACACACTTATGTTCGCTTATACATATGTACACATATTTATATTATAAACATACATATATGTTTGAGAAGATAAGAAAATTGCATTAAGAGGAGAATTAAAAAGGCAAAAATTAAATAATTTCTTTTTGTACAATGCACAAAAGGATGCAAAAAAAAAAAAAACCGTATTTAAAGCTTATGATTACACAAAGGTGCCCTATATGTTCGTTTTTTTCTCAATTTTTTTTTTACTATTTTAGCTTTTTAGTCCTTTTTTTTCTTGCTTCTGTTTGAAATTTATCTTTATGTAAATATCTTCAGGTTGTTGGTTTAAATAAATTAAAAAAAAAAAACTCGGAGTTGATTTCTCGTTCATTCATCATCAATTTTGTCCTTCTTTTTTTTCTTTCTTTAATTTCAGGACTCGGTTTTTTTTTTGTGTTTTAATATTATTCAAAAACTAAACATTTTGTAGCTCTTCAATTCAGTTTTTTTTTTCTTGTTTTCCTTTTGCTATTTTGATCATGTCTTTATAAACTTTTCTTGTTTTAGAATTTAAAACAAGAACAAGGAAAAACAAAATGTGAATATTGAAAAACAGAAAAAGTTCTTCTTCTATATAGTTACACAGATATGCATAAATATTTGTATAAAGCTTTATAATATATAGGAAAAAAAATTGCATATTCTCATATGCAAAAAAAAAAAAAATATATTTAATTTTGAGAAAAGTTGGGGCATAGCTATATGAAAAACAAAAATAATAAGAACCGTTCATAGAAATTTATATAAAAGCAAAACAAAAAAAACAAAAATAGAACAAAAAAACCAAAAAAAAAATTTTGCTATACTCCCGTATATGAAAGAAAAATCATAGAATATCTTTTTTTTTTCTAGAATTAAAAGCGAGAGAAGTATAAGTAGAGTCAAGTATGTGTTGCATATTAAGATCCTCGGCGGCTGAAGAGATTCTTTATTTTTATTAAGTATATGACAGTGAATAATGTATACATTTTTTAATATATATATATATATATATATATACAAATATATTTATGGTAATGATACATATACACACACAATTATTTATACGTAGACGTATAAATGAAAAATGCATTATATAAAATGCATTTAAATGTAATAAACATGGCTCTATTATACTCGTAATATAAACCTATATTTGTATATATTTATATAAAAAAATTATGATTTTCAGGATGCATATTTACATATATGTTAACATGAATGTATATATCCTTTTTTTTTAAAATATAAGGTAAAAGAAATTGAAATGCATTGAAAATGAATGCAAGTTTTTAGCTATTCATCTTCTATGATATATAAAAAAAATAAAAATGAAAAGAAAAGAAAATAAGAAAATGAAAATATGAAAATTACATTTTCAAATAAATTTCCATTTTTTTTGCTCATTTTTTGTTTTCTTATTATTATTATTATTTATTTTTCTATGTACATACGTAAAATTTGTTTTTCTATCTGTGTACATCAAAATTTTTTTATATAAATTTTTCTATATTTAATGCTCATATGTATAAGATATGAAAAGAAGTTTTTCATTCTTTATTTTTATTTTTATTATTTAAAATATCCTTAAAAATAATAGTTGATAAATTTATTTATTTATATACATTAGCTAAAGTGAATTTATGTGTCTGCATTTAAAAATAATTTTGTTAATTTTATACACTGAAAGAAAATATTTCTTTTTTTATAATTTTTCAGTAATTTAAGAGCAATAATTATGATGAGCAATATTAAAAAAGATCAAAAATCAATATATTCAATTCATTAAGGACATATACAGAATGGCGATTTAAACATAATATTTCGCTATACTGAATATAGATGGAAAAAATTTCATCGATTGCCCCTTCGAATAATATACAACTTTTGATGTTTTTAAATATTAACAATGTATTAATTTATAACTATCATTAATAGAGTTAATATTGAAATTCATATAATTATTCTATCAAGCTTAAATTAAAATGGAAAAATTGAGGAAAAATAGTTTTACATATATAGTAATGTTAGATTCATTGTGGTGCTTAGTAATTATAAGATAAAAAATTTTACACGATTTAAATCGATTTTTCATTTAGGAATAATGTTATTCAGTAAAAAAACGAATCCGTTATTATTATTATTAAATCATTAATAAATTTTATGTTTTGTATGTAACAGCAATTTAAGGAGCACTTTTGCATTGACCAACTGATGTAAATAATAAATCCTATACGAAAGAAATATTGCTCAATTGTTCGCTTAATTATATACATGTATATTAATAAAGAATTAAGAATTGAAATTGTTTCTTAAAATCGAAGACATGTGATTGAAGCTCTTTTTGACTGTCACGTATATGTTCTTATACCATCGACGGGAAAAAACACGCCATGTTTGTGAGTACTTTCAACAGATTTTATTGTAAAATTTCCCTATTATTACTAGAATCGACAAAAAAAAAACATGAACTTAAATCAATATCGAATACTTGCTTTCATTTATTAAAAATGAAAGAACAATGTACCATTAGAATAAATATAGCTACTATCCTCTAGAAATGCAAAATATTTTATTATTCTACTATAATAATTTTCAATAAAATTGCATACTTTTAGGAAACGCATATTTAAACATTTAAATATGTTTATTCTTTTATATATTTTTAAAAAAACAATTCAAATTTATTTTTTTACCGTTAATCACTTATAAACCGCTCGTCCAATTTTACCACAAACATTTGCAAATTTATTTACAGGAATCACGGGATAATTTCTAAAAAAAAAACTAGTTTTGAAAAATCTGTCTGTTCGATAGTTTTGACAATTTTTCGAGCCCTTTTAAGTTCTGTTCTACTAAAATTAAAATAAAACATTGTTATGAAATTTTCAAATCTGATCATATTTGATTTTTTTGAAAGAGTTTTAATGATATCTATAATGATATTTTTGCAAATCCGCCACGTGAGACCCAATTTTTCAAAAAGCGAACCATTCACGATTATAATTTCGACAGGCGTCAAAGCCCTGGACGCCAATAACTTAAACATAAAAAATGTTTAATATATTCATATGAAGTGATTAGTGAAACTTTTAATACCTTCAACAAATTTTTAAAGCAATTGAATAAATAAATAAAAAACGAAAGATCACTCCCTTTCATGCGAAGTAGCTGCAACGTGTTATTATCTAGTTAACCAGTTTCTACAATATTATCAAACACCAAATTAATCTTTTTTCTCCGTGTTATGACATCATTTTATCAAATATGAATATTTCATTTATATTTTATACCTTTATAATATAAGAAGGACTCCAAAAGAAAAAAAAAGGACTAAAGAGGTAAAATCGTAAAGGTATCCCTTTTAATTTTTAATCTCTTTGCTTTACGTATTGCATTTTTATCGTCTCATTTTTTTAAAAAATATTATGTAAAGGTACAATTTTATTATTGGCATTTTATATTAGCACATTCATTTCAATGCCAACAAAAAAAGCAAAAACAAAAAAACTCCAGGAAAAAGACAAAAATATTTTTTCTATACATGAATGCAATTCACAATATATAGAATTATAAATGCGATGCATACACAAATACAAACAAAATTTTTAGCAAAGGATCCTTTAGTTACACGTTGCATTTTGATTTTTTCTATTTTGTTATCTTTTCTCTATGCGGCTTTTATTATAATTTTTGTTAATTTTTTTTATTTTAAAAATAATATATAGAAATTTTTATGTTTATTCCATAAACATGCATAAAAGTGCATAATATTTAATTTGTATTGGTATTAGTGATAAAAAATTTTTTCTACCTTTTTTTTTTTTTGGAATAATTTATTAGAGTTTGAATAAAGAATTAAAAAGAATTTTCAAAACATTATAAGGATATTAAATGAAAAAATAAAACGAAAATATAGAAGAGAGAAAAAAAAGGACACAATAAGAAAAAAGAAAAAAAAATAGGATCAGAAAAATTATGTACGAGAAAGTTTCGTGTTTGTTGTTTCTGTTTTTTTTTTTTTTTTTTTCTAAAATGGTACTTCTGGGCTGGTTAGTTTGCTCTGAATAGGTGATTAAGTACTTATATGTGGGGACTGATAAATAATTTTTTTCTCTTTCATAAATTTTTCATGTGTAATTTTCAGTTTTGTATAGAATTCACGTG